TCAGACGAAAAGACAGTTAAAGACAAGATTACATGAACACGTATCCGATATTAATAAGAGGTCAAAATCTCCAACGGTGATTACTAATCACCGAATTGACCAGAATCACAACTTCGACTGGCATAATGTTGAAATTTTAGACAGAGAAGCCTCGTATAACAAGAGATTAATATCGGAGATGGTTCATATAAAACGACAAACGCATGGGCTAAACAAACAAAATGACACAGATTCTCTGCCAGAATCATATCTAAACATTATCCAATCTCTTTCCCCCTCTTAACATTGTCCTTTGTCCCCTTCCTATTATTTTTCCTATTTCCTTGTTTCCTTGTTATCAGTAAGTCGTTTGACATCGTCGATTACAAATCTGAGACCCATCCGTATTATGGCTTACTTTTTATTTAATATAACGTTGTTAATTGCGTTTTCCTCTCTGCGTCTAACTTACATCTTTAAGACATTTTAAGGTAGATATTTTTATTTAATTTGTATTTTAAGTTAATTTATAACGTATTGTTAATTTATTATTTATTTGTAAGATTGGAGAATTGTAAAAAAAGAGTGAGATGAGATCTCCGTCGATTTTAAATATGGACCACATGTCATTGATACAACTGAATTCTGTACTGGACGTTATAATTTAGCTAAATCTTCCGAGAATTTTATAATTTTGTTTATTTTGCATTGAAAATGACCCGATCGGGGTCGAAACGTTCGTTTGCATGTATACATGTATGTAAGAAATTTTATTAAAGATTAAAATTATTTCCATATGTTCATCTCCATCGTGAACTTTTTCGCAAACCAAAAATGGAAAAGCTCGCATGAGACACCACGTTTGCATTGCCTTTTGGCGTAATGTATTATCTCTTTTACGGAGCATAGCTTCGGTAAAATTTGCAGATGGTTTATTCTTTTTTTCCATAAATCCATATTGAAATGATGATATTCGATCATTCAAATATTGAACATTGAACAATCGCTGTACCAGTATATATTCATGTAATATTAATTTCAAAATCATTGGGCATATGCCGCATAGAAAATCATGCATAGGATCAAAAATTTTATTTCGAGAAATATGAAAATAACGTGAATTATGCAATGAGCAATCTCCTCGGATTCCTGTCGTAGATTTTGACTCAGCAGAAAAGTTTGTCTGTTCTAAGGGATCAAGATATTGGTTGAAAAGCTTCTCAGTTCTTGGTTCTGTTGGTTCAACAGAACTAGCATGTAAATCAGCTCTGGTATACAAACACATTCGACAAAACATATTGGCTGATGGCCTAAGAAAATTATATACATCGTGGACAGAAAGTCCATCCCTAGTAAAAGCAGCTAAAAATCCGCGAAGTACAAACTCATCAGATTCGATTTCTATGGGTATTCCTTTATCGTTCTCCAACTTAGCTAAATCTCGCAAAAATGGAGCAAGTACTTTTTTAAATCCATACTTTTTCACATCCGAATCACAACAAAGAAGTAGAAGTTGTATGCTACTAAGTTCTGAATTTATGTATGGTGGCAAATTTTGAATAGTGTAATAAAAAGCTCCTAATTTGTGTATTCCTGTCTTCGATCCTACGGGTTGACAATTTCTAATTCATCGTAATACAACTGGATTCTTAGAGCGTGCTTATGTTGCTGCAAAAAAGGATGAATTGTAGCATGCTGACCATCTAGGAATGAAGTTAATATATTGTCATCATTTGATTTTCTTTCTGACAGAATAGCTTGTCGCACATCTTTATTTGACAGCACTAATTTCAGAGAATCAATGATAGAAACATATTGACAAGTTTCCATAACCATTTTTGGTATATATGGTTGCTGTTTCACTATCCAGTGTATTATCAAGGCGATATCCAAGAGGGATTTCTATGGGTTCAATATATCCGCAATGCTTTTTCAATGCATCAATTTGCTGATCTAACGTTCTCATTCCTTCAAAAGGATTATCGAACTCAAACACCTGTAAGACATCTTTTGAAACATCGTCATGTAGCACATTATTGTTAAGAATAAGCTGTCTAATTTTCTTTTTCATGAAATCCCGGGCGGTAAGTAAAAGCTCTTCGCATTCATCAAGGATCTGTGTTAACAGATGTCCTGTCATTGAACCCTTACACTGGAATTTTGCAATCATTCTGATCACAAACTTTTGCAGATCAAAATCTTCTTGATCAGTATCGTCATTACTGCTAACATTATCATTATAAACTGAATTATCATCAATGTTTTTTGGATCGTCAAATTGTACATCCATTTCGTCGTTATTTATTTCATTATTATAAAGTTGATTAGTAATAATTTCAGGCCTTTGTTCAGGTTCATCGCCTCTTTCATGCAAATGATAGTTTCTAATATGTCTTCTCAACGAATAGAAATTTACAAATCTACGCCGACAGCCATCTTGTCCGCATTCAAAACCTGCATTATCCACACCACGAATAATTGTAAATCCATGGATGGATCTTAAATGTAAAACTAAACCATCCAATCCACCAGAAATTAACTGCTGACATATATAGCAATTTAATCGCTCCATTACTTACAATCTCAGATCAATTCCTACAATAAAGTAATGATAAATAAATAAAAGAGCATAGATGCCACATGCCAGGTCTTTTTGCGCAGATAAGTTCAAATTTTATTTAATAAAACATAATAATTAACGTTTCAACCTACATCAGATCATCCTAGTATGTCTTTATAATTTCATATCAGAAAATAATAATTTACTAAAATATGTGTCTCCTTATATATTAAAATAAAAAATTTAATATCTGTGTGACCGTTTGTACATGACATACTTATTTTTTAATAGTTCGCAAGATGTGAAACCTGTTCTGAATATTGTCCGTCACTTCTTTGAAAATGGAAAAGTGTGACTAACAAATATCCCATGAATTGTTAGTCACATTTTTTTCATTTTCAAAAAATGACGGACAATAGAAGTTTCACATCTTGCGAACTATTAAAAAATAAGTATGTTATGTACAAACTGATACACAGATGTTAAATCTTTTATTTTAATAAGGAGATATATTTTAGTATAATAATTGTTTTTTCCGAAAATACGAAATTGTAAAGACATACTGAGGATGAACCTGATACAGATTGAAACGTTAATGTTATTATGTTTTAATAGAATAAAATTTGAATTTATCTGTTGCGCAAAAAAGACCTGGCGTGTGGTTCCTATGCTCTTTTCTTATTATTTTATCATAAAGCTGTTTTATTAACTTTTATAATAAAGTAGTGAATTTTGATCAATATGAATACATGTTAAAACATTTTCGTAAAGTTGGGCAATCACATTCTTAACGCATATGCCATATAGATACGTACTGTTCTAATGGGAATGTAAAACAAATATGAAATATATGGAAAAATAATATTACCTTGAAATATTTGTAATGTGCCTTCATCGATACCAATAGAACGCAAATGATTGATAAAATCTTTTGATGATGTCGCAACAGCCACTTGTTGTTCTTGTCAGAAGTAGCTGTATTAGGAATAATGATATTTATAACCGAAAAAAACCTTCTCAATGCGTGAATAATTCGATAACCTTTAGGAATCTCTTAATTTGTAACTCGCGCGATTTCTCAACACACTCGTCTCTCCTAGAATAATTGCAATAAACAAATGTTATCTGAAACTGTTTTGTAATAAACGCCTTTTGAAAAAGTAACAATAACAAGTAACGATAAACTTTAGAACTTGGAAAAGTAATAATACTTTCTCGAAAGTTCTTTATTATGTGAAGGTTATGTGAAGGTTATGTGACTCCCATCACGGAGTGTCACCTTGTCGCGGTATGGGAGCTCCCTTCGGACGATGATGCCCCCATTACCGGGCCCTTCCTCAGAGTCACTTGTGGCTCTGGGGCGGGAACCGGGTGGGGATCTCCGAGGGTCTAAGGGCACTCCATCGGGTAGGTTACCTGCGGTGACACCGGTCACAGCAGGCACTCTGGCCTGCCTCAGCCAGAGGCGGCGTGGGGACCGCTGGGCAAGGGACGAAAGTAGGTCGAGGGGTTATTCGCGCTCCGCTGGGTGGACGAACAAAATAGAGGGTCAGGTGGGGAATGTGTTTCGCGGGGTACGGCAAGATTCGCGTTGGATAATTTCGAGTACTGAAAGGGAAGGGACGTCGGCGTGGGTAGGGTTCTCGCGTCGCGAGCGGGTAGGAGGAGGATGAAGGGAACGGACTCAGATCCCGAACCTCACCATCCTACCAACAGGGGTGTGCCTTCCCCCTTGTATAAAAACTCGGAGGTATAGCAACGGGTAGGTCAAAATGGGGCGCCGCCGGTGACAGGGATGCATGGCATCGCCCGATCTAAGGGACGCTCTGACAGGGTTACACGTCACCCTGGTACAAAACACGGACGTGGAGTACGGGTAGGCCAACAGGGGCCAGGGGTCGCCCTCCCCTTGCAAATCCTCGGAGGATGGTACATGGGTCGACCAAATGGTAAGGGGCACGCCCTCCCCCTGCAAAAACACGGAGGATGAATTCGGGTAGGACGGAGCTGCTCCCTCCCCCTGTGAAAACACGGAGGATGGTTCGCGCTGGGGGAAGTCGCGCGGAGGTAAACGGCGCGGGGGAGTAGGGTGTGGCAAAGGGATGGGCTCTGCGAGCCCGAACCAGAGCCACACAAACATGGATCTGCCTCTCCATGGCCCTCGAGGCAAATCGGAGGTAGGAACACGGGTAGGACTGCATAAAGCAGTAAAAAGGGGTCTGTCTTCCCCCTATAAATCGGAGGCAGGGACACGGGTAGGAAACACCACGGTGGACAAACAGAAGCTTGCCCCTTCTGGCCGGGACTTAGTAGTCTCGTTAGGCAAAACGAAGGCAGGGACACGGGTAGGGCTGCTTGGATGCGAGGGTCTAACCAGACCACCGTCTCTGTGGCCAAAAAGGAGGTCCACCTTCCTCCCCCCACGGTAGAGAAACACGAAGGCAGGGAAACGGGTAGAGCGGCTGAGAGGTGGCCTCCCCCTCGATGGGATCCCTCTACAGACGCGAAGCAGGGGTCCCCCTCATCCTGTCATCAACCGAAGGGGCGCGCTGCGCGGGTGGCGGTCGCCGGTGGACACTCCCATGTAAATATGTGGATGACCGATGTCATTCAAGATCAAAGGGGTTCCTACGATGGAGGAATGAACGGGTAGGTCGAGTCTGCGGACTTTGGTCACTCGAGCTGGCCAGGGTCCGCAGGCACCGGGAACACGTGTTCCCCAACGTTCCCCTTTTCCCTTTCCTTTCCCTTATCCCTCTTAACATCGGACGCGTCCGGGTAGGAAGAGGGCGTCCGTCTCGGGGTAACACTCGAGCCTGGTACTCTCAAACAGGGGTCCGCTTCCCTCTGTCTAATAATTACGGAGGCGGGGAAACGGGTAGATGGAGGTGGATAGTCACCAGCCCTACCGTGAGCTGCAGCTGACACACACCGGCCAGCAGGGGTCTGCATTCCCCCTAGTTAAAAAACACGCACGTAGAGACACGGGTAGAGACGGTAGATAGGCGCTGCACTCGCACTGATGCCACATATCGCCGAACACGGGTGCTGCCTTCCCTTGGGTAGGATCCGAATGGCAGGGGAAACGGGAAGGAGGGCGGGGATGCCAAGAGACCGGTCTCGAAAGCACCCTCGACCGAACAGGGGTCTGCCTTTCCCCTGTATAAATAAATCGAAGTGCGGGCGCGACTCGGAGATGGTCCCGCAGCATGGCGGGAGCATCCTCGAAACTCACGGCATGGACTGACCGTCGGGCAGTGACTCTCCGTTTGCATGGTTGTCCTAGTCCCGACTGTCCCACCTGGGACAAGATGGACTCGCTTCATCCTTTCGCCTGGGCGGAGGGATCCGG